ATGTTGGAAATTAATGGCAAACTCTGCCAACATATAATTCTTGCTGCTTGTAGTACTGTGCTTGGGCTCCTAGGGTAGTTTGCCATGTTATTAATGAGTGGCATCAAGAATAGTTACTTGCGTTTTGTAGCCTTTTATTATTATTTTTAATTACGATGATGAGTGTTAAAGAATTAATATGAAATTATTTTTTATTTTTAAACATTATATTAAAGTTTTAATAATGAAATGATTATAAATTTGAATTTTATCATTTTATTCTTTCAATAAATTAAAATATTTTAGTATAACACAGTGATACAATTATGTAAATTTTAAATTCAAAGAATTTTCATTTGAGTTGTTGTGTTAAAAAAATTAATATAAACCCATTATTTCAACATGTTAAGTTTTTATATTAAAATAGTTAACTATTTTTTTCCCTTAAATATCATGCATAAATTTCTGTAAGAATGAAGTTCCTTAGCAACAAGATGTAAACCGTCTAGTCTTTAGAGATTTTGGTAAAACATCACCCATTAGATATGATCGTGGGAGTGGGATTTTTTATAAGTGCCCGAACTAGATCCCTGGACACGCTAATGACTAGTAATCTTGGAAGTAATTCAATCCTTGCTCTGTCTGAGTTAGGCGTTGATGGTTTGAAGCAGAGGTTTAGGCAGGGATACTGTTTTATTTTCTCTCATGCTAGGTCTAGCTGAGAACTCCATAAGAGTTCCTTTTGGGTGTGATTTGAGCTTTGCTCAATTTTTCCTTCTTTTAAGAGTTTTATCATCGAATCTCAAATTTAATTATATATATATATATATGGATTTTCAAAAATAATAAGTTGAAATTTGTTTGTTTAGGGATATGAGTTAAACTAAGATTTTGAAGTCCTCATCTAGTATTAAGGGAATTAAGAACCTAAAATTAACACTAGTTTAGAGATTTTAAGACAAAGAGTTGGTTATACTTTTGAAAAGATATCAATCGTCCAAAGACATCTGTTTCGATAAAAGATACCACGCCTGGTTTAATAATAAAAGTTTATTTGCTAAAAGTTTTATTTTTGCCAAAATATTTTTGAGTAAATTTCCAAGTTTATTATCTAAGCTAAATTAATTTTTTTATTTTTATTTGTGACATCATATTGAATCGATCGTTGGATCCCAATGTCGGGATTCTCATCAATCCAACTTCGGATTCGGTTTAAGTCTTGACATAACCGATATATCGAAGAACGACCTAATTACTAAAATGTGATTAATTTTGAATTAACATTGGATGGGCGACTCATTAAAATTGTATAAAATGCTTTCTTTCTTTTTTGTTGTTTTCGTGTTTTCTTTTAAGTTGTGTTAGGAAAACATTATCAAATTTTTTCTTTTTTCGTGGCATCACATTAAATTAATGTCGGATTTCAAAATTTGAGAGTCTCATCAATTTAGCATCTAACTTAAATTAAAGTCTCGATATGATTGGTATGCCAAGGAATGACCCAATTAACTAAAAGTATTTACGTGAAATGTTGAATAATATGGACTTGACTTGACTCATTATTATATATTTTTTTAGCATTTGTAATGCTAAATAAATATATCAAACCACTATCCATCCCTAATAAATAAGAGACTTGTTATTCCGATATCACAATCGAACCAAATTCTATACATTAAAATAAATTTCACAAGCTAAATATTTTTAAGTTTTCTAATACAAATAAAATTAACATTATTACAAAACATCATAAACTAATTAAAAAGATAAACAAATCAAGTGATTCTAAAGGGTGACCAAAATGCCCATAAGGTAAAATTATCAAAATACACGTGCATGCTAAAATTATGAAACTGCCCTTGGGAACTCCAATGCTTCGCCGCTTGCTCCGATCACCATTTGATGCCCTTCGGGCGCATCGACTAACTCGCATGAAGGAGGATGTTCTTGCCGGTCATCCTATGGTGGTGGCAACCATCGATGGAGAAAGTGGAAAGAGAGATCGATGTAGTTGAAGGTTCAACCATTCATCCCTCCCTTTTTTATAGAGATTCTAACCACAATGAGGTAAAGGGAGGCCAACAAGCTACTCGGAGGACCATGGAGAGCATTTCTACGATAGTTAGAAGGCTCGGTTTGGTCGGCTCGAGGAGATTTGGCCGGGTTTAGAAGAAATTGGTAAATGGGTCGGTCGGTTCCTCGTTTCTTTAATTCCACCAATTCGACCGGATCTCACCACTATTTCTTAGAGGGACAACTTATAGAAGGATGAAGGACACTTTTATAGTAGTGAGGCTTGTTGGTTTGGCGGAAAAACAATGATAATAACAAGTACACAACTAGGTTGGGTCGTCGATCTTCTCTCCTTGATTTCTCCCTCCTCCGGCGTCTTTTTCTTCCCTAATCAATCAAAACTCGGTGGATCTAGTGGTGGGCTATCAATTTATGGTTGTGGATTGAAGCAATTTTGATCGAAGGATGGCCAATTTGAAGGAGGAAATGCCAACGAGTGTATTAGTTAACCCGCATCCGACTTAGATTTATAGCCTCTTTTCCTCTTTTTTTTTAATTTTTTTCTTATTGTCTTGGGATCTATGTCCTATATATATATTTTTTTATAGAGATATGATAAATAATGAGTTTTCTATATTTTGGTTCTTTTTTATGGGTAATTGTGATGAATATTTTAGCTAGATTTGTTTTGTTTAGGAGAATAGTTATGGAGGCTATATTGTTTTTTGGTAGATAGCGAGTGCTTGGAGGCTAAGTTTTTTTCTTGGGTAGAAAGATGAGCGGGAGGCTATGTTTTTTTTTTTTTTTTGGAATAATTGTGGAGGCTCCTTGAAAAATGAAGTGAAAATATGTTTATATATGGATTTTTTAGGGTTTGGGACAAAACCAATGTAGGTCATTCTTTAGATTATTTTCAATTTCAATATATGTTTCATTATTTTATTTCAATTAGCTCCTTAGGTGAGATTATTTAATCCATATTCTTTTGATTTCTTTTTATTTCATACTGATTAATTCTCAAATAATTTTCTTGATTTTTATTTCTTTCTAATTCCATTCCCATTTGAATGTCACTTAATCCTCGCTTTTCACATAATTTTTATTTGGATTCCAAATTATTTTTCTTATTTTTAATAAAAAATGAAAAATAATTTTAAGAAATTAAAATCATAAAATTTTATAAAAATATCTAAAAATCATGAAAAAAACCAAACTATGCAACAACTTTTTTTTTTTTAATTTTATCTGAAAATAAATGGAGAGTTAAAATTGAGTTGTTACAATATATATATATATATATTTGACTCGAAGATGAGGTCCACCAATCTCTGGACGAGTTCGTAGTGCCATAGCCGGACGAGCCATTTTTATCTTTCAGTTCTATCATGATTATGGCCTAAGAATTAGCAACCGTTGAATATATATATATATTTGACTTGAAGATGAGGTCCACCAATCTCTGGATGAGTTCGTAGTGCCATAGCCGGACGAGCCATTTTTATCTTTCAGTTCTATCATGATTATGGCCTAAGAATTAGCAACCGTTGAAATCACTGGTCACCTATAGGCTGAGTTCTACATATATATTAATTCAATCGTTTATATAGAGGCAGAAGATCAGATGTCCTTGAATAAATTATAAATTATTTCCTCTAAATGTGAGAAACAAATTAATTGGTTTTTTATTTTAAGAACCATAGAATTGATCGGACTAGATTTCATATAAAAAAAATTTTAAATTTTATAATATATAACTTTTTCTCAATTTAATATATTACTCATATTGTAGTTAATTATTTAATGTAAAATATGTTCTCTAAGAAAAACAAATTATTTAGTCAGTATTAATCACACTTAATTATACTTAATTTAAATGTTAATTAATTTCAAAAAGTGTCTTTTTTTTAACATCTATATATCATTCCATAATATCTTCTTCTTTTTTTAAATAAAAAAATAAACAAATTAAAAAGCATAAAATAAACAACAAAAATTAACTAATTAGTTTTTAAAGAAAAAATACTTATTAATTTATTTCTCAAGACTTAAAAAACTAATTTATAATTTAACCGGTATCCTTGTACCCAACACTTACACAACTCTGTCATCTATTCTATCTGGAAAAACATTCCCTTTTTCTAATGGCCCAACCAGAATAATTGTCTTAGCAACCGTGCTTTGTGATATCACAAGGACTTCTCTCAAACGTATCCTTAGTGCACACATTAAAAAGTTATTCAAATTTTAAATTTTAGAAGTTTTCTTATGACACCACTATATGGGAAAACTGATTAAAGGTGGAGTGGAACATATGCTTTAACACATGGTGGACAAATATTTCAAATTAAAATGAGAAATCAAATCATCCAAAAAATGTATATTAAAAGTCATCATTGATAAGAATAAGCGTATTATTCTATACTTCCTATCAAAACCAAAGAGCAGAGAATTGTCATTCAAGTAAAAAAAAGACTAATAATAGTGTTCAAGAAGAAATGTCAAAATGACTAATACCACCGTCAAAAGGAAAAAAAGAAAAAAGTAAAATGGCTAGTAACGAAAGGGAAAGAAAAATATTGGCAGAAATATTATATATGCCTGAATTTACTTAATTATCAGCATGCATGTTGCATTTGTTATATATATATATATAGCAATTGGCGTGAAAAGAGAATGAGTCGGATATCACTATAGCTCAATCTTGTTAGAGGATAAGAAAATATCAGGCTAATTAATTAACACTTAATTTAGGCTAACGAATTCATTCATGTACATTATAGAGGATCAAAATGTGGGCAACAGCAAGCCCACTAGTGTGAATGTACTAAACTAGTATGAGTGAGTGTGTATTACTATTTGTGTATGCTGTGTGGAATCAAGCAAACATCACCTTGTGCCTCAACCATCTATGCAGTAAACGCGCTTTCGGACCCGAAGCCCATCCCTATAAGTACCTTGCCATTAGCTTTCATTTGTAAACCAAGCTGATGGGATTCGAACACATTCCCATGGCTTACCACAAAGTTCTCGCAGCAGTTTTCTTTGTGTTAATAGGATTATTAGGGATATGCTCTGCCAAAAGATCCCTCCTTACTCTTGAAGCACATATTTCTTCAGGCGGCTACGGTGGTGGCCATGATGCTGTTGCTGGTGTTGGTATTGGTGTAAATGGAGGGTATGGTGGTGGAGGTGGCTCAGGTGGTGGCGGTGGTTCTGGCTCTGCATCTACAGAAGAGAATGGGGAAGTGGCCAATGGCCATGGAGGTGGTGCAGGGGGTGGAGAAGGTGGTGGTGCTGGCTACGGCGGTGCTACTGGACATGGTGGTGGTGGTGGAGGTGGCAATGGCGGTGGTGCTGGTGCTGGAGGAGCTGGATATGGAAGTGGTAGTGGAGAAGGTGGTGGTGGTGGATACGGAAGTGGTGGTGGAGGGAAAGGAGCAAGCGGTGGCGGCGGTGGTGGTGGTGGAGTTGGAGGCGGAGGAGGAGGAGGGTCTGGTGCTAGTGGTGCTGGACATGGAGGGGGTGAAGGAGCTGGCTATGGTGGAGGCTATGGAGAAGGAAATGGAGGAGGTGGTGGTGGCGGCGGCGGTAGTGGTGGGGGAGGTGGAGGAGGTTCTGGTGCTGGAGGTGCCCATGGAGGCGGATATGGTAGTGGTGGTGGAGAAGGAGCTGGAACTGGTCATGGAGGCGGAGCAGGTGGGTCTGGTGGTGGGGGTGGTGGTGGCGGCAGCGGCGGTGGTGGGGGTGGTGGCGGTTCTGGTGCTGGAGGTGCCAATGGTGGTGGATATGGTAGTGGTGGAGGAGAAGGAGCGGGTCATGGAGGTGGAACAGGTGGCCCTGGTGGTGGTGGAGGCGGAGGTGGCGGATCTGGTGGTGGCGGTGGAGGTGGCTATGGCTCCGTAGGTGAACATGGTTCTGGGTATGGTGCAGGTGTTGGGAGTGGTGAGGGTGGCGGTCATGGTGGTGGCTATGCTCCTTAGTACCACATTTTATATGTCATCTTATAAATACGATTATGTGCCTTCAAGACTATAGTACTAAGGAAAATAAGGTTTATTTAAGGAGATGCTATAAATTATTTATAATGCAGTACTGTAATTGAAGCTAAATGGTTCCTCTCGTTATATGCCAGATCTCAATTGATAATTTTAACAAATGCATGTAATTTCCATCTGAGAGATTCTTCTCTTTTTTTCTGTTTTAATTTCTAGCAAGGGCTCGTCCAAGTCCACCTATTTTGAAAATCAAGTTCAGAGCTTCCAGATATATTGTAATTTGTATTTGGCGTGCTCAGTTATTAATTTATGCTGGTGTGCATTGACTGATTGGAATTCCAAGCTGGGAAATCTGCTAGTCCTGAGTGATTTTGAGAATTAAAGAGTCGGCTTTTAATGGCCAGCTCCCTACGTGCTTGATAACGATGGTAGTAACGTAGTAAATTGTTATGATAGTAATGTAGTAAAGTTGAGGCTAACAGACATGCACGTAGCCATAGCTTGCTCATTATCGACGTAATTAGTATTAATAATATGTCAATCAGAATTGTAGTTCGACTGTTAATAGTATTTTTTTCACTAAAGATTTCTGGTTTCAATTTTTTTTAATAATAAACATGATTAATAATATTTAAAGCATTAGAGTCATGGAAGCCAACTCAAAAAAAGCGTTTTCATTGTTTGTAGCTTGGACGATCATAAGTTATCTTCTACTGTTGTTGATCCTCATGCGCTATCATATTTGCTCGCATGCAAAGCGAAAGTTTGTATCGTCTCCTTCCAGTCATAAACTAGTGCCGTGCTCATAGCTGTATCTTGATTTGGTGCCAATACATCTTTAAATGATCAGTTTCACACGATGGCAAAATAATGATTTTAATTATCAATGAACATTAGTAACGCAGTTTGTTAGATGATTAAAATAAAATCATTTTTAATACTTCATATAATAGCTTAATTTTTTAAGTTAACATGATTTTTTAATATATTATTACAATTTTAATGGTAAAATTAATAGTTATGAGTTTGAATATTATTATTCTGATTCTTCTTATTAAATTAAAAAATTCAGCACGGCATGTGGTAATAGACCTATACCACAAGGTTCAAGTCTTATTGTTTAATTACTAAAAATAAAAAGTTCAGAATAAAAATTATAAAATCAAAATGATATTTTAATTTCAATATTGTCTTTAGAATAGTAAAAATAAATTTAAAAATTTTTAATGTCTGTTTTTTTTAAAGATAAAAAAGAATAATGATTAAAATAATGATTTCATCAATAATGGTGATAATAAAAGCAATAAAGATGATGATAGAGGTAGCAACGATGGAGGCAAAAAAGGAAAAAGAGAAAAAAATGATGGATAATAATAATAGCACGAGTAGTTACAATAATATATTTATATAAAAAAAAATTGATGCCACAATCATAGGAGGTGATGGTAGAAAAATAACGGTGACGAGTGGTTGTGATTTTGGAAGATAGAACACTATTTTTTTTTAAAAAAAATAACAATAATATCACCACCACTAATGGTTGGGGAGACAATAACAATGGAAGTGGTGGTGGCGGTTATGAAAGAGTGATGGTATAATAATAATAATAATAATATGTCATCATCACTACCAATGGTGGTGGCAATAATAAAGATAAAAGAGGAGAAAGAGAAAAAGATGATGGTAATAATAATAATAATATAGTAATAAAAATAATATATATTTATAAAATAAATTAATATCACCATCATAGAAGTTGACAATGAAAGAAGAATGAATGTAGTGGTTGTAGAATAATAACAATAATAATATTTTTTTTAAAAAAATAACCATCATCATCGCTAATGGTGGTGACATCGGTAATAATAAAAGTGGTGGTGGTGGTGGTGAGAAAGTAACGGTAGAATATATTTTTTCACAATCATCACCACCACCATTACCACTTCCATTATTACCGATGTCCCTACTATATATATATATAGCATCACCGTCGCTAATGGTTGTGACGACACTAGTTATGGAGGTGTTAGCGAGTGGAATAATAATAATGATGATATCGAAAATAAAATTGTCATCACCATAGCTAATGTGAGGGCAACAATAATAATGGTAGAAGTAATTGTTATAAAAATAATATATTATATTTTTAAAGTAAAAAATTACATTTGTATTTCTTATTTTTATTTTTATTTCTTTTCATGAAAGTAAAACCATATTTAATTTTTATTCTTACTTTTACTTCGTTTCTTTAACCCAAATACTTAGAAAATAAAAATAAAATTTGTATTTATATTTCTATCATGGTCATTTCTTATTGTCAAACAACACTTAAAAACTTTCATGTCAAGGACCAACTTAATGCATCATTTCTTATACTTATTGTTAAATAGAAAGACCAAGTTGATTAAGCCATGACCTAAAGGAAGCTAGCAGACTAAGTCAGCAATAGTTTTAGCACTCGAGATAGCTACTACCGACTATATTACTTAATTAGCTATTGTCACGATTAGATATGTCTTGTTGGTGCTAGGACAAGTCTCTTCTCATGTTCATTCGTTTTCGGTAAAGTCTCCTAGCATCATTAGGATCGCTGCTACTACTCTCATGTCCACTCGTTGCTCCCGCTACTACTGCTATTATTATGTCCTCTTTTTGTCCTAGGACTACTATAGGTGTGACTTCTTCTTCTTCTTCAAAAGTCTCCTACATATAATCAACAACAAGGTACATGCGAAGTTAGATAGTGTTCTTATCTCTTATCCTTGTATAATATTTTATGCTCATCTCTCGTAACAAACTCTATATAAAATAGAGTATCACCAATCAATATATATAAAGAAAATTTTCTATAGTTAAAAGACTCTTATTACTTTAACTTGATATCGAGCTACAAAGGCATTACTCGTCATTCTTCCTCTCTCTTTAAAATCACGATCCTTGTTCTTCTCCTTCTCACACACCACTGCTGTGCCTTTCCTCTTTTTTTTTTCTCCTTTTCTTTCTTTTTCAAAACACTAGATGGCCTATTCTAATAATAATTGCTCTCCCACTATTGCTATTACAAACCAAAACACTCATCCTACTCCATTAAGTCCGCTCAACAACTCCCATCATTTTCTCTCTCTAAAATTAACACGTACCAATTTTCTCTTGTGGCATGTCCAAATGAAACCATTTCTCATTGGCCAAGGCCTCTATGGCTTTATTGATGGATCACACCCATGTTCTCCTAACCACTTTGCTATTGGAAAAAACAAATATTTCATAAGTGAACCCCTCTCATTTCGTTTGGATCCAACAAGATAAGATTCTCATAAGCATCATCACCTCCTCTCTCTCTCTCTCTCTCTCTCTCACACACACACACACACACACACACACTCTCTCTCTCTCTCACTTGATACTCTTCCCATAATTATTGATTGTACTACTTCCTAGGAAGTTTGGTCGTGCTTAAGCAAGCTCTAGCTTCTCCTTCTAGAACCCGAATCATGTCATTATATCTTACCATGCAAAAGCTCGATATGAGTCCACTAGATTGATATCTCAATTTTTACACCATGCAAAATCTTATAGTGGTGAAATCTCGGTAGCTGGTCGACCCCTTTCTTTTTTTAACTCTACATTTATGTATTCAAGGGAATTTTTAGATATTTTAAAGATATCATCACCTTTTTTCCATGAGAGATGAACCTATAACATTCGCTAATCTTCACGACTTTCTTATTAGCCATGAGTTCTTAAATTGTGATGCTTTTTATGCTCACCCCTCAATGATAAGTTTTGGTTTATTACCCACATTACCTATTACCAACCTTATTCACAAAGCAACTCGCACCTATTCGACCGACCTAGTGGCTACAACCGTGGAAAAGGTAGGTTCTTTCAAGGATGAAGGCATGGAAGATTTAATACTAGGTATGGAAACTATCAAATTTTGAAAATAGAAGAAATTGGCATCAACATGATCAACGTACCAAGTTTTAGATATGTTCTTCATGAAATCACATGGTTGTCATCTACCCTCAATGAAAATTTTCTCCTGTTTAGCCCATTACAAATATCTTTATCGTGTCCTCCTCTACCCAATTCGCACTTTCTTGGTGTCCTAACATTAGTGATTCTTACCATGTTACTCCCGATCCGGCAAGCTTTAATATCTATGAACCATATCAAGGACCCTATCATTTCCAAGTTAGCAATGATGAGTTTCTTCTAATTTGGTATATTAAATCTTATCATATTAAAACATTGACCAAAACTTTATAGCTTCATAATGTTTTGCAAGCTCCCCAAATAACTAGAGCATTACTTTATGTTTAAAAGTTAGCTTGTCATGATAATTTGTTTAAAAGTTAGCTTATGATGATAATGTGTTTTGGGAGTTTCATGCTTAGAGTACTAAATTTTTTTTAAAAAAAGTCATTCATTATCTACTTCTTTTAAATTATCCAGATTACGTGTGTCTAGTCCATTAAGGAAAGTAATTCATCTACCTCTGTCTTCTTCCAAAAACACAATTTTAGGTATTTTAAATTTAATTTTTAGTGATGTATGGAGTCCTTCACCTATTATATCTGTTGAAGGTCATAAATATGATGTAACATCCGCGACCTAAAAACCTTCTTAAAAGTAATTATGTTTGTAAGAATAATTTATTTAATTAATAGATGAATATTTATTTAAAGTAAGGATTGAAAAAATATGGATAAGAATAAAATTAATGCAAATCTAATTATTATGGAAGACAAATGAATTAATTAGAAGGTAAAGGAATTAATTAAAGTATGAATTAGAGATTGGTATCATTAATTGTTATGATTATGCTTTGATACAAGAGCATAATTGCAAAAATTAAAAATTTAAATACTTGATTGAAATAATTAAGAAAATTTAAGGACTTAAATTATCCTTGTAAAAGGCCTAGGATAAGGGCCAAATTGAGAAAAATTATGAAGTTACGGACTAAAATTGAATGGGGGTGA